AAAATACAAACTTATTGTTGTTGTACTACAAGAAACAAATTTGTTGAGTCCTTTATGAGTCATAAATTTTGACGTGTAAAGCACATATAATGGCAATTCGGTTCGGTTTAATTATTTCTGAAATTAAAATTTTTAGTTATAGGACATAAAGATGGCATCACAATGCATTGAACTAGAAATATAATAATATATGATTTTTTTCTTTCAGAAGCTAAAAAATCATTAGTCAAGGGTAGGGTAAAACATTTCAATCATATAGTTTGTAATATCCAATCCGAAAGAGGCTCTAGATTTTACAGCCACAGGAAAGATCAAAATTAAGATAATTCACGCTACTGAGTTTATGAAACATTGGTTATGTAGCCAGACATCTTATAGACAAGAGCAAGGTTTATAACTCCACCAATCCAAATAACTTATAGGAATTAAACAAGTGGGACAAGGTGAAATTGCATAATATAGTAGGAAACCAATTTCAATGGAGAGGGTGGTTGTTTTATGTCATCAATTGAATTTTAAAAGTTTGAGAAGATAGCAACCTCTTTGTTCTTAATATCTGCTGGGAGCTGGAAACTTTTGGCAGTGATAATGACTAGTCTTGGGAGATAATGATGGGTTTAAGTTTTAAACAATGTAATATGTGATCAAAGACTGGTCTAATACCGAAATTTTCATTGGCTCTTAGATAAATATTTTTGTTCATATTGGCAAAATATGGCCAGATCCTTTTCATGGTGTGATAGGATCAAAGGATTTGGAGTTTTTATGACCCTCAAATCATTTTATTACATTTGCTAGCAAAGGATTAGGCAGTGCTCGTAGCCAAATCATTCAAAGACTAAAGCTTCGATGATTACATAGTTTAATAAGGAACACATAAGTGGTATAGATAGATTTATTTAGATCAGGGATTTTCTATCAAAATGATTTGACTTTGACCAAAGCCACACGCAAAATCACAGACCGACGAACCCTAGGTGAAAAGTTTTTGACTTGATCTAAGTCTCTAACTTACCTCGAAAAAAGTTCAACAGTTTGTGTACTTCAAATTTTTATTTGATAGATTCCTACATTTTTGCTCAGCCGACTGGTTAATCAAAAGCCATATTTAGGCATGACAATTTGTTTACTTTAAAAAAAAATCTAGGAGCCTCATTTTCTGATGTTCAGCACCAAACAGACTAACTTTTCAACCAATACGAAGAAAGAAAATGAAACTTCATCCTTATTCACCTAAAAGTATTTTGGAGGGAAATATTCTCCTAAGGAAGTAGCAAAAGCATCTACTTTTATGAATAATCTTCTCCCAGACTAAATTAGGACCTTTGAACATTTATAACTGTTGATGTTTTCACTGCTTCTTGACTTAATTTTGGTTATATATATTTGAAGTAGTCGTAACAAATTAATTGATGACAATACTAAATATTCTATCTAAAACCAAAGTTTGCTATCTTAATGGGATCCAGTTTCTTCTCTCTCTTTATTTATTTATTTTGAGAGTAATGGGATCCAGTTGATACATGGCTAACTGCTTAATAGAGAGCAGTAAACCTTTACAACAAGATACAGCTAATAATGTTTATAGAGCAAGTTGCGTCAAATATTCCATTAAAGAAGATGCTACTATGTTAGAAAAGAAACAGACAATAGCCTGAAACGAAGTCATAACACGACTTAGAAATAAAGAGTCATACAAATTATTAAACAAAGGGAAATGTACCTTTCTCTTATGGGGCATTGAAACCAACAAGTGCCCTCCTCATTGGTTCTGCCTTAATTAAATTTTCAAAATATTTTCATACAAAGATCACCAAGAAGGTTCATATGTGGCTTTCATAAGCTTTCCTTTGGACTAAATCAAAACCTGTCGCATACAAAAGAAAAAACCGTGCTTCGTCATGCCACTGGAGAATTCCTGGGAAAAAACCTGTTATTAGATTGCAACAGTAGATTGACCGGGTCTACAGTTGTTTTCTTTAAGTCAGACCAACTGTTAAACTTAAAGGGAAAAAAAAACAGAGCTATGACGATGTAAAAAATGAGCCAAGTCAAGTCATAGCATACAATTAAAAAATGAGCTAAGTTCAAACCATATTTAACACTTTTAGTCCGTTAGATATGTTCACATGAGTCTAAAAGAGTACATAATGGGGGTAAAAAAAAATTAATAGTTACATCTTCAAATATTTCATATGCGGGGTGGTAAGTCTGCGTACATCTGACCTACTTTATAGCTCACAATGGTGAGAGCCTCATGCACTGGGCCGCTCTTAATCTTCAAATATTTCACATCAACTCTCTCCATTTAATATAACTCTACCCAGATTCAATTACTTATTTCTGAGGAGATGATGATCGATCCTTACGGGAATTCTGCTAAGAATCATAGTGCAATAGGGTTTGATCGGAATTCTGATTCCAGTCTAGACTAAATCAGATAAAACTTTGTTTCATATATCGATCATAGTGATTCAGTTCAAATGATCTCAAAGTTAAGTAGATTGTCAGCCCTAAATTAGTTGAACACACTATTCTGTTTATTTAACAGAGATACTAGTGGTCCCAAATGGTATCTGGCATCATACCGAGGCATATATTCTCCAAATAGCATACAACAAGCAAGCACTCTTTGAAATGGAAATAAAAAAGTTTGCTGCCAACTGCTGAATATTTTAGCCCGTGACATCATTAAATCCATTTTAAGTTGAGGGATATCTTTACCAAAAGCAATGCATTAACACCGATATCAGTTCAGACCTTCTGGAAGGCCAATTGGCCATTCATCATTGGCTCTTTCTTTTTCTTGATGAAAGAAAGGATTAATTAACTATCAAACTAGTTAAACCTTTTACTTTTCATCTAAAACTTCTTACCTTCTCCTGATGTTCTTGTGACCTTTCTTTCTCTTCATGTATATTCTATAACTTTTTTTTCTAGTTAATAACTTTCATGGACATTTTGCCTCCCGTTACTTGGGTAAAAAATGAACTATTTATAAGTAAACCAATCGACTATTGAAGATGAGAATTATCTAGTTCATTCCTTTTCAAATTCAACCAAATAATTCTGAAGTAATAAATGCGAAAAGTTCTAAGAATAACATAACATAGAATAAGAACTTATTTTCAAAGGTATATGCAACTAATAAAGATAAGAAATTAACATTTACCCAATGGAGGACAGACAGCTTGTAGGATGGTATCATTTGGAAAAAAATTCTTCCTAGAAAAGTGAAAATTTTCTTCCGGCTTCTTTCGTTTGCTAAACTTCAAACTAAGGAAAATTTGACATAAAAAGGTTGGACATAGGATCCTTTATGTTCTATTTGTAAGCAAGAACCTGAGTCACATAACCATCTTTTTCTTCAATGCTATTTTGCTAAACAAGTGTGGGGGTTTTTTCTTGCTAAAACTTGGCTCAATTATCTTGCCACATGAAACATATCATCTTTTTACTATGTGCAATGATAATTCTGTGGAATTGAAGGCTTGGAAATTATGGCGTTATATTTTTCCTACAATATGCCGATGTATCTGGAGAGCATGGAATAACTTGATTTTTTGTGGGGAGACCCCCGAGGCTAGAAAGATGGTAATATGGCTCACTTTCTCATTTTCTACATAGGTAATTCAAATAAAAGGCAAGCGGATAAGCTGAACAACATCATCAAGGAAAAGGGAGTTGTAGATCTTATTTGTTCAAGTGGAGATAGCGAGGACAGAATGTGATGCTCTGAGTTTGTTTCTAAGATGTGAACAATAATTCTGTTTTTTCTCTCATGTTTATGATACTCTAAAGTGTTGTTTGGTTAGCTATTGAGCTAGACATATCAACTCATAATGTTTCTAAACTCTTGGTTTTCCTCTTCCTCAGTGTTTTAAAAAACCGAGAGCTAATCGTGGAAGCCGGTGGTGAACCGCTCGATAAACATGATAGCAGTGTGAGATTGCGGAGAAAACCGCTTTTACTCAAAAAATGGTTAATACGCGCGCGAAATAGCAGTGTTTATCGCTTAAAAGCACTTTTAGCTGCTCTCGTCTCGTCTCTCGCCTCTCTCTCTCTCTCTCTCTCTCTCTACTCTTACTGACTCCCGCACCCGAGCCTTAGCCGCCTTCTCTATCTCTCTCGCCTCTCTCTCTCTCCCCCCTTCTCCAGCAACCACCTCCCTTTCCTCCTCTATTAGAGGCTAAAACCACCTCCGGCAGTAGCAACACTACCTCCAATTAATGTCATCTCCAGCAGCAACACCACCATCTCTGGTCGACTCCACCTCCAGTAGCGACACCTCCATCTCCAACATCAACACAACCATCTCTCTCTCACCCCTCTCTCTCTCAGCTCCTCCAGTGACCAACTCCCTCGCCACCTCAAGCAACACCATCTCCGGTCGACTCCATTTCCCGCAGCAACACCACTATCTCCGGTCGACTCCATTTCCAGCAGCAACATCTCTCAGAGGCTCACCTTCTCCATCACCGCGATGTTGTGCGCGGCGCGGAAGCGGGACAACCAAATGGGCGTGCTTCGAGAACCATATCAAACAAACGTCGATATAAAGGCCAAACAAATCAAAACAACGGCACAAATTCAAACACAATAGTTTTACGTGGTTCGGCAAATTGCCTACGTCCACGGGGCAAGAAAGGGATTGGGTTTTTACTAATAGAGAAGAAGAGTACAAACTGAGATTACAAAACGCTCAAACCAATCAACTAATCTCACTAACAAATCTCTTAATCTCTCTAAATAAACCCTCAAACAATTGCTCAAAAAAACTCTCCTTTTTTTTGTGCTCTAAATATCCTCAAACCAATCTCCAAACAAAGCCCAAGAAACCCTAATTCGTATGTTGGTATTTATAGCAAACACCAAACCTAATAAGAATAGGAAATACAAAACAGGCCCTGACTCGATTGGCGGTCGACCGCCCAAAGCTCGCTGTCGACCCGCGATCAACGACAGAACCCAAATGCCTTACAAAAAGGTCTCGCGGATCGATCGCGACGGTCGACCGCGCCAAATCCAGACTCCTACTCTGGCTTGTGCACGTTCGCGGTCGACCGGCCTTGCGCCGCGGTCGACCGCGCAGCTCCCAAACTGACTCCTGCGGATCCCAACACATGTTCTTCACCAAACTTCTTCACGGTTTCTTTAATTTTCCACCTCGGTGAAGTTTCTTCCAAAACTAAGCCGACACCAACCAAACCAAATGCCTCACTTGTTGCGTCCAGTACAAAGTGAAACTATTCACGATAACGAACTCAATCCACAACAAGTTGAGACCCAAACGGGAGTGCGAACACTCACCCAAACGTCGATGTCTCTCACCAAATCGGTTGCATCAAAACCGACTGCCTATGTATCCTCTTGCCCAAGGAATCAAGCATTCACGTAGTTCATCCAAACGGCCTCCAAAGGCCCTCAAACAAATAAAAAAGTCTACAACTCTTCATCAATATCATCTGCATCCAAATCCAAATGATCTCTAATCTGTGTCACCTCAGCTGGAATCCCAAACGATACAGTATGATCTGGAGTATGTGGAATAAACTACACCCAACGTGGAGTAGCATCACCCTCCACCTGCTGCGATATCCAAACAACCTGATCAACACTCTCTACCTGCCGAGAGTCAAAAAGTGACATACCTGCTCAGAACAAAATTAGAAGCTCCCAACTGATAATCAAATAAGCCTCTAAATCCCAAACGCGTAATCGGATCAAATCTTACATCCTCGATATGACCAAATACTGGGTAACCAAATATCTGACGCCAACCAAAATCTGAAGCAGCTCTACCATATCCAATAACTCCAAATGCAGCAGTTGACGACCTATGACTAAGATGCCCCAAATATGTCGAACCTCCTAAATCAGAACCAATGCTCGACAATCAACGTCGATCCCCCTCCAGAAAGGAACAACCAATCAAAAATATCATCTTATCTCATCGTCATAATGTTTCCTTTCCAATGAAGTGTCTCAAACTGTCATGAGCTCGGCACAAATGCAGAAATAGATCCCTCTTGTACCTCCCGTTAAAATCAGAATGAAGTACCTTTACCTTCTGCCAGTACACTTCTTCAACTGTTGTTGACTACTAGGACTTCAAAACCAACGAGACTTGGTTGCAACCCACAAATACCTAGTACAATCCCCAACATAAGAAATTAAAATACCAATTTACCTTCCAATGATGCCTCCTTGGAAGGCCCCTAAATGCCTGAATGAACACCAGATAGAAGACTCTTCAATTATCGAATAGAAGTGCCAAACTCTACATCGGTCTCCTTGCTCATACCAATGTGCTCAAAGGACTTCAATATGCAGGTCAAGGGCACTTCTCAATAATCCAATGCACCGTATCAACAAACAAATAACTCAGCCTCAAATTCTTCTATCTCGACCAACTATCTCAAAGCACCAACAAATGAAGAATAGATCTAAACGGATAAAGGAGAGAATTTTACCTCCAATTGAAACCCTAACAAGAGTCTCCAAACGATCTCACCCCGCACGACGGCAATAAGATCCACAAATAGAAAAAATCTCACTTTTATCTCCAAACGAAGCCCTTGAAGAGCCTCCAAAGTGATCTACTACTCCAAATAGCTCAAGCGCCAACAAACCAATACGAAACAAACGAAGAATAGATCCAAACTGAAACAGATAGAGTCTTTACCAAAAAGATCCCACATTTCTCACCAAACAAAACCCTAGCCGAACTTCCAAATTGATCTACTCCTCCAACCAAGACAAAACCCTAGATCTGGAATCTGAAGCTTTGATACCAATTGTTGTGCGCGGCACGAAAATGGGACAACCAAACGGGCGTGCTTCGAGAAACAAATCAAACAAATGTCGAGATAAAGGCCAAACAAATCAAAACAACAGCACAAATTCAAACACAATAGT